AACCAGTGATGTTTTTTGTTCATGTAGAGATCCAGATTCAAACCGCCATCCTTCAAATCTGTGGACAAACACTCTACCAACTGATCTATTGCCTCCCCTGTTGTTGTGTCATTGAGCAAGACACTTAACCCTCCTCACCCCCAGTGTCTGTGTATGCTGCTGTGTGAATTGGTGTGTGGTTCTTTGACATAAAGTGCTTTGAGCACCTTGAAGGTGGAAAAGCCAGAATGTGACCATTTACCATTGAGTTATAATGACACAATGCCTGGTCAGACCATCTGCCCCTATTGATTAGTGATCAGACGTGGACAGAGAAATAAACATCACTAATATAAATTTGACCTTTTACACCTGCTTGTCTCCATGGAGATGTTATTTCCTTGCCTGTAATGGTCCACTCCATGGACCTCTATCTATCTTAATAAAGGTTATGTTATCAAGTTACTGGTTACATTTAAAGAGAAACAACTACTCTCTGTAAGCAAGTTTTGGCATTTTTTTGCAATAAATAAATAGGCAATAAATAAATAGATCTAATGCCATACTATGGAACATTTCAGGGAAGCAACAACATCTCCATGGAGACAAGTAGGTAGCGTACCCTCCATCAGAAAAGTTGCGCAGTGCATCTTTGAGGCCAGTTCTATCTGAAAGTTTTCAGACAGTTGAGTTAGGGGAATGCAGGAGCTCATTTCCCTTTGTTTGTGTGGGGGCCACCCGTCAGACAGGTGCAATAAACAGTTGATCATATCTTTGGTTAATTATTGTGCGAGTCTTGCAGGCAGCATTTCATTCACTTCTTCTGAGAATAAAAGGGGTTATCCGAATATGTTTTTGCAGTGCCTTAACTAGACCACTTCACTGGACTGCAGATTGGAGACAGATTGATTTATTGACCAAAGCTCTCTGGGCCCTCACACTCTCTCCATTGTCAGTATCTCCGTGTTTGCTCATTAATTTTCTCATGCTTTGCCCAGAGCATGGAAGCACGCCGAGTCCACCCACACTGTCATGGTCCTACTGTATGCATATCATTTAACTCTATAATTAAAATATGTGATCTATTTCAAGAGCCATGATGTAGATTTATGTGTGTGTGTTTGATTTTAAATGTATGGATTTGTTTGTACAATCACAATAAAATATTTTTTGTTGTTTTTTTTTTTTTTTAACATGTTTTCCCCTCTCCCTCCCACTCTCAGTCTGTTCACAGAGTCTGCCAGACCTTCACAGTTGCAGGTAAATGACAACAAACTCATTAGGACAAACGGAATAAAATGTGGCAATATACTATTGTATGCATGGAATTGTTTACTGCTGTTGTGTCCATAAAGGTGCATTGCGTAACTTTTCTGGAGAGGGTCCGCAATCTGTTTGTCTCCGTGGAAATATTTGGGTTTATATTGTCCACAGTATGCTATTAAACGAATGGATCTTACAGGTGTTATTTATTGCTCAAAAGTACCTTTCAAAACATTCATTCTTTCTGTGAGTGGGTCGCCTCTCCAAAAATCTAACCTGTAATTTGACTTGCAAGTTCCCGTGGAGATTCATAGAGTTATGGCCATACTGTGGAACATTCTAGGCACATCTCCATGGAGACAAGCAGGTGAGGGGCCTTCCTGCAGACAAATTACACAATACACCTTTAAACAAGACACCTCACCCACACTCTGTCTGTTTGAATGTATTTTCGACTAGAGCAGCCAGACAATATTTGATAAGGGCAAATTTGAGAGGGTTGTAAAATGTAATCCATAAATTGCACTAAACCTAAAGAACGATCTGGGACTAAATTAAACTGACATAAACCAGGAATAATCCAGGAATTACAAATCCACTCATCCAATCCAAATGAATAGTTTTCCTCCCGCCCCTGTACTTATAGTGCATGTGCCTCTCTCCTCTCTCTTCTCTCCCCCCTCCTCCCTCCTCCCACTCCAGTCTGTGGTGTTGTGTCTGCCAGGCCCCTCACGGCTGGAGCAGGTTTCCGCTCTCGTGCAGGGGAACACGAGCTGGGATAATCTGGCACTGGAATACTCAGAGAAATACTGTCTGTTCCCATTCAGCTCAACACCACAAGTGTACTACTTTATATTACAACTAACATTAACCACTTCCTTTTACTTCTTGTTAAGTCGAGTTTGGCAATGCCAGGCCTGAAATTATCCAAATGACTCTTGTGAAGGTCTATGGAGTTCAAAAACACAGTGGAGCGCTTCCTGTATTACCACATGACATCAGTGTTTTCTGTTTGAGAGCAGAACCCAGCCTAAATGTGCATGGTGTATGTGTTAAACAGGTGTGAATGAAACAAAACACAACTCTGGTATGTTTTTGAAGAGGAAATAACATTAACAATAACACAGAAAATAGTTTAATATGGGACACTAAATTAGCAACAGAAAGAAAGTACTCTCACAACTGCCAAAAGTTTTGTTAAATCCACCAAAAAAAAAAAAAAAAAGAATACTTATGGACTTATGGGGATATAAATCAAAACAGCATCTCGTGATAGTGTATCAACTAGATAAGTATCACAAAATATCAATATGCATTTTTTTTGGCCACATCCTTAACTTCTGCTGCACTGCCCAGGACACACACTCACCCTGATGTATAGGAGATGATACAGTGTAATTCTGGGGGGTGTCTATTTGCAAATTAATGACTCAATCTGTTCTGTCTTCTGATGAAGGAGATCTGCAGGTATCCCACAATGCACCCCATATGGTAGATCGTATACTGTATTTCAACAATCCTACAAGATATAGGCTAACAAATGACCCTAAACATTACATAAGCAAACTGAAAACCTATACACCACAGGGTATGTATATATATTTGTGAAAAATGAATATATGACAAATGCTTCTTGCCAAAATCTGTGAATAATGATCATATTTTATTGTGTTTCTAAATATTTAATGTTAGTCTTCCTCTAATGATGTTGATAGATAAAGCTGAGCCGCTACCATAGAGTCAGTGCTGCTTTAGACGTCCCCTATTACACAAAATGGATTCTCGTGAGTTTTAAGCCATGTTAAAATGTTATTACCTTATCAAAAACATACCTGGAGTTGTGTTTTGTTTGAGTACACCTTAGTCTGTCTACATCTCTAAAGCGCAAAATCCACCTTGTGATGTAATTATCTTGAAGCGGTAGTGTTCAAGTTAACAGCTCCATTTACGTTTTGATTAGTACAGATTGGACATTCCTAGTGAAGTTTGTTGAGTTTAAAAACACAGTGGAACACTTGCATTACCACAGGACATCACAAGGTGGAAGAGTGTTTTCTATTTGAGAAAAAAAACTTTAAATATGCAGGGTTTGTGTGTTAAACATGTGTGAATGAAACAAAACCCTTTCAGATGTGTATCATAATAGAAATATTTAAATCTTTTTGGGAAAACATTAACCCTGGCTCCCTGACAACAAAAACTCACTCCAGGCAGCTCTCATGCATACAGAATCTTCATTATAGTGGAGCAAATTAACCCCGGTCAAGCTCTACTTCTATTACTATGGCAATAGAGCAGTGTTTTCAACCTCTTATGAGTCACTGCACACTTTTTGGAGAAATAATTTTGTGGCAGAAACCAGCGAAAAAATAACCAGATTATGGTTTAGAAATTACCTTGGTGCTATAACTTTCTGGTTCACTGGATTTTGCAACAGTGGTGATTTTGGTTTCTTTTCTTGGTCAGAGTAGACCTGTCTTGACAAATATATATCGACTTACCGTTCAATATATGAAAGCTGGAACTCATTACAGCTGCAAACTAAGTACTAAAGTGTACTCATGTTTTTATAACAGATGTAGATTTATATTGTCACTTTGAACTAAAATCGCACATTATTAAAAGTATACCTGGCAATCCCTCAAAGCTCAAACAAGGGCCTTAGAGAATTGTCCTTGCCTGTATATCCACACTACCATATGCATTACAACCATCATTTTTCATCACGAAACCCCTCAATTTATATACTCAAAGGTCACTCGAATTGTTTAGGTTATAAAATGCTCTCAGGAGATTTATTTACAGTATATTTACAAAGTAGCTACCACTTGTCTTGATGTACCAAACATGAACTGCGCTGTCCTAAAAATAGTCCCATCTTCAGTTTGTTGGATGTGATGGTGTTTATATCTAGTGTCTCTTCTCTGACCTCTCCCTGGCAGCTAAAGTGACTCATGTTTACATCCCTGTCTCTGCTGATTTCACCCTGGGGAGGGCTGTTAACACTGCACCTGGACAGTTCAGCACCCCGAGCGAACAGGCGCGCCCCCATCTGCACCTCAAGGAACAAGGAGATCTAAAAAAAGCACACCACACCGGCCCCTAATGAATCTGCTGCCGAATTCCTCACTTTGAAATAACATTTGTTTTCGTGGATAGCTTTCAGCAAGTGCTAATGGTGATTCAATTATCAAAATTGTTTTCTCTAATTACAGAGGATGGCACAGAGGGGCATTTAAAGGTCCATTGTGGTTAACTGCCCTGCTGGGAGCCCCATTTAAGATGTTAGAACAAAAAGGTTCTCACACTCAGACCACTTTTAACAAATTGCTAAAATGTCATGTTATTATAATGAAATAGCTATATTAAAATGCATTATAGGTGATAGTGGCTGTTTCATAGAAGTTAATTCTGTTTGTTAATTCTGGCTATTTTCTGGATTCTTTTTAGCTTGTGTTGCATGAGGAGGAAGAATGAGTGTCAGGTCATGTATACACATTCTATTATACACAAGAATGCAGCAAATTTACACAATATTGCTTGAAGATTGTATATAAAAAATAGGCCTACAAGAATGATCTTCATTCACTACAATGTATTTTATAAAAGATTTCATCTCATTCAGAGCTATTAAACAAGTTTAAAATATTTTACTTGCGGTGTGTGGTGGCATATGAGCAAAAACCCATAGCAAAAATACGCTTTTTGAATGTCCAAATATAATAACTACGATTCCCATGATGCACCGCTAGTTGTGACGTCATAAGCCGGCGCAAGGCTGAGTTGGCGTTTGAGAGAAGGTAAATATCTGGATATCAATCAAATTATTTAATGTTTCCACAACTAAATCTATGACTTTTATGGGCTTGTACGTTTTGCTTAACTTCTCTCACCCTTTATGCGCAATTATGAATCTTATTTTTTCGTGTTAAGTCTGTTTATAACGCGATGCTAAGATGTGGAGCTAGTCCATGACAATAATTCATTCAGTATTTCTTCTCTTTATTCACTGTTTACATGTTTTACTTTTGTCACAGGGTGTTTTTTGGTTCGGATCGGGTCCCGGGACATACCTCTCGCCATGACTAAACTGGTGGAGTGGCTGGTTGGAGTGACGGTGATCCTCGTAGCCTGGGCGGTGGTTTCTTTCGACCTGTTGGAGCTCAGATTACCGGACACGTACCGGGAGGTGGCCTGGCCCATGCCCCTGTACCTGCTCGTGTCTTTCGGCTGTTATTCCCTGGCCACGGTGGGGTACAGAGTGGCCACGTTTAATGACTGTGACGAGGCTGCGAGAGAGCTACAGGAGCAGATCAAGGAAGCCAAAGAGGACTTGAGGAAAAAGGGATTAAAGATGTGAAAACTTTTGCAGAACTGAGTGACAAAAACTGGAAATTCTCCTGTCCAATGCTGTGCAGAGAATGTTTGTTACGAAATATGAATGTGATGGAACAATAGAAATATTTTTGTAAAGCTAGCTAATGTGACCCTGAAGCCCATGAGCGTTTGTTTACAGATATCCAGTTCAGATAGACTGCAATTATTCATAATGCATTCAATGCAGTATATAGCTAGGCTTAAAATGAAATGTGCAGTCACAGTAGATATGGACTGAAAATGAGTTTTACAAACATTATAAAAGTCCTGTATTACACTCTTGTGAGCTTTTAGCTATGTTACAATGTTACCTCATCAAAAACATACCTGGAGTTGTATTTTACTTCATTCACACATGTTTAAGTAACCCTTTATTATTAGTCTGTCTACATCTCTAAGATCAAAATGCTCTGTTCCATCTTGTGATGCCACGAAGAGGTAGTTTTCAACAGTTTTCAGCTACATTTTACCTTTAGTTCAGTAAAGATTGACAATTCCAGGGCTGCAATTATTCAGATGATTCTAATAAAGGTGTACAAAGTTTAAAAAAACACAGTAGAGCACATCCTGTAGTTACCACATGACGTCACAAGGTGTTTTCCACATCACAGAAGAACACAGCCTAAATATGCAGGATTTGAACATGTGTAAATGAAATAAAACACAACTACAGGTATGTTTTGGATGACATTATAACATAGATCAGAATATAGTGTAATATGGGGTTTTTTAAAGATGTACTATGTAACTTCTCAGAGGATAGGCAGCCAGCTTGTCTCCATGGAGTTATTGCTTTGCCTGAAATGTTCCACAGTAGTGCACTAAACATTTGTAACATTAAGTTGCAGTTGTTTTTTTTTTTACCTGTTTCTCTCCTGGGTGTTCAAATGAGTTAAAATCCATCCTGTGGGGCATTTCTGGTAAATCCACCTTCTATCAGTAAAATACATAGTGCATCATTAAGAAATATATTGTACACTGTCTGTTTGATACATTTGTTAGACAATAAAGCAAGGTCATTGCTAGTTAAGAAATAGTTGCAGATTAAAAAAAAAAAGACAAACGAAATCCATACAAAATAGTGTCAGTTTTGGTAGTTGTGTAACCAAGATATAATCAGTTTCACACAGATACATTGCACATTTCTCAGTCTTGTACCAGTCTAGGCTTACAGTACTTTGCTGTGACATGATTCACACGGGTAACACTGGGGATGTTGTCTGTTGTATGTATGGATGTCTCAAGATTTTTATCTCCAAACATGTACATTCCTTTGTCCACTTGCAGACATGTGCCCTGTGGCTGTTCTGTGGATGCTTATTAAATTCAAGGCTATTTTCTTCATTCTCTTTTTTGTGTTGCATGTGGAGAAATATAGATTTTCACAAGGTCAGGCGATGCACATGGAGGAATTCATGTGATACATTTTTGCTTGAGGATTTTGTAGCTCAGTTGGGAGAGCATTTGTCCACTGATCTGAAGGTTGGTGGTTCAAATAACACTCTTGACATAAAAAAATATATCTATCATTAATTGAGCGGTCTGTGCGAAAGCTGCTATGGACACACCTCACCCCAGTGTCTGTATGCACTGGTGTATGAATGTGTGTGCGAATGGGTGAGTGGTTGAGTGGTTTCTAGATGTAAAGAGCTTCGAGTTTTTGAAACTGGAAAAGACAAACTTTAACGATCCACAAGGGAAATGATTTGGACACAGTAGCTCACACATCACATGAAATTATAATAACAAAGAGCAAAAAGTGTAAATGATAATATTAAATTCTAAAAAAGTAGCAAAAAATAGCAAGACACTGGTGTCAAATAAGGCATAATTATATAAATGTATATGTAAAATTAAAAATAAAATAGAAAATAAGTAATCCAAATATCTCAGCAGTATACATGAGGTTATAAAGAAGATAATATAATGATTGACAGAACATAGGGTTTTCTGTTACATAAGGGTTGTTGCACAGTTGTATAGAGTATGGTATGAAATATGATATTTATTATGCTCAAAAAGACAAATCTCACATCTAATTTAACATGTAAAATTTTCCACCATTTTCTCCCTTCAGAGGTAAACACTGGTGAGATAATATGTTTTTTTGAGTTTATTCACTGTGTCCCTTTGTACTGGTTTTAAAAGGCTAGCTGCTCTCATTCTCTTTCAAACAAAGCTTAGCCCAACCAAAGGTATCATTAAATGGTTTCAGAATCTCCACGTAGTTTCTGAACGCACACGAACTGGCACTTTCTTTTCTGTGCCTTCTGGTTGAGTCTGGTATCAAGCCTCGCGACGTCAGCCCCCCGCGAATGTCTGCAAGCTGTTACAAGAGCAGCCGATGAAAGCCAACCTGTTATTTACCAGAAAATGCTCTACTTTTGGCACTTAGACCAAAGACTTCCCTCTGTCTGCTGCTCTGCTCCTGCTCGTATAACCACATGTGAAGTAGTTCATCATTCATCTTTGTAATTATCCTACCCCAAAAAAATGATATCTCTGAAATTAAAGGGCTCATATTACACAAAATGGATTCTTATGAGCTTTAAGCCATGTTATAATGTTGTTACGTCCTCAAAAACATACCTGGAGTTGTGTTTTGTGTCCTTCACTCATGCTTGAACAACCCTTTATTTTGTTTATCTGTCTACATCTTTAAAGCTCAAAATGCTCTGTTCCACCTTGTGAAGTCATGAAGTGGTATTTTTTAAGTTAACAACTACGTTTTATCTTGACATCACAAGGTGGAACATGAAGTATTTTCTGTTTGAGAGAAGAACTCAACCTAAATCTGCAGGGTTTATGTGTTAAACATTTGTGAACGAAACAAAACACAACTCCAGGTACGTTTTTGATGAGGAAAAAACATTATAACATAGATAGGAATAGGAAAATTGTGTAATATGAGTCTTTGTCTATAGCAGACGAAAGAGGAGTCAGTTCAGGCCATGTGGTATTTTTAGACCTCGTACAGTAAACATAGAGTTCTGTTTTAATCCTTTATGTCAAACCTATAACTGTAAGTGGGCTCTAGTCTGCACTTAACCCACTGCTTTTACATAAGTACAATATGTAATGTGACATACTTTTGATATCAGAAATGACGTCAAAACATTAGATGCCTTTTTATTGCAGTGCATTTTTCTCAGAGGCAACACAAGTTCTGTTAAAATAATACAATATGAATTTAAAGGTGTTCTGCACAACTTTTCTGGTGTTGGGTCTGCCATGTGTTTGTCTCCATGGATATGTCATTGCTCTGCCTGGAATATTCCACAGTATGACATTCAACAGTTCTACCTTACATTTATACAATTACAGGTGTTTTTGTAGCTCAAAAATACCTAGAAAAAGACATTCTGACTGTGAAAGGAGTTGCCTCTCCACAGATGTGACCTTTAACTTGGTCTAGTTTGGTCTCAATGAAGATAGAAAGGTTTAATACCATACTGTGAAACATTCCAGACAAAGCAATAACATTTCTATGAAGAAAAGCATTCAATGAAAGTTACACAGTGCACCTATAATTAATAAAATCAATCAGAAAATGCTACTTCAATAAATATGTAGCCAAAAAGCCTAAATATAACTTTTCAGGGGAAAATAAAACTAATAAAAAGTGAAACTAAACATAACTCCAGTTCTTTCCACAGGACTTTAGAGACACACAGTAGCTCACACATCACAATATTATAATAAAGAGCAGAAATATAAATGGTAGCAAAAATAGCAAAAGACTGGTGTCAAATAAGGCGCAATTATATAAATGTACACTACCGCTCAAAAGTTTTAGAACACCCTAATTTTTCCAGTTTCCAAAGGTAAAAACTGAACAGCTAGAGGTTAAAAAAAAAGATAAAAGATAAATAAACACAAGTCCAAGCTCTGCCAAAACTACCTCAGGAAAAAAGAACAAGATGGTGAGCTTGAAAACATGGAGTGTCCAGCACAGACTTAAACCCCAGCGAGCTGATTTGGGATGAACTGGACAGAAGAGTGAAAGCCGAGCAACCTGCAAGTGCCACACATTTATGGAAACTTCTGCAACAGACTTGGGAAAAACTTTCTGAATAATATTTGATTTCTGCTGTAAAAAAAACAAAAAAAAAAACAAAACAAAACAATGCCACGAGTATGTTCAGCTGTTATATCTGCCAAAGGTGAACACTTTCATGAATCAAAAGTTTAGAATATGATTTGGTCAACAGTAAACAGTAAACAGTAAAAAAATGGAAAAAGTGTGGTGTTCTAAAACTTTTGACCAGTAGTGTATATGTACAGGTTAAAATTAAATATCGTTAGGAAAAACAGTGCAAAGATGATATAATGATTGATAGGCTTGATAGGGTTAAATTTACATAAGCGTGAGTTGTGGTAAAGTTGTACAGAGTATGGTATGAATGTAGTCCTGTATTTCTCATCATCTTTCTGTGATGGTTTTATACAATACAGAAGAATTTTCTCATAGAGTAAGGACTTCTATTCAGCTTTGTCAAGTCAATAATTCTTCAAAAGTGTGTTCAATCAAATGTCCTCACAAATTCTCACTAAGAAATAAAGTCTTTACCACATAAAGTGCAGAGAAAATCGCCACCATTATTTCAGTTGCTCCGATCTCATATTATATCTTGCGTAGAAGAGGATGCTCTGAGGACAGAACAGTAGCTTAAGTCACTCACAAGATCCATAATAATGATCGTTCAGTAATTCAGCGTCTGAGCCAGCCAACACTTTTAACTCAAAGGTGAGAGGTTTCACTTCTCCAGAGACACAAACAGAGAGAAGCCCACCCTGCATTTCAATGGACTTGTGCAACTTTATAGAGCTGCTACACTGTGACACTGCATTCATTTATCAGAACAGAACTTATCAGCTTATCGTGGTCAGTTTTGCACAGAGATTGCAAAACTCATGATGGTGTCAGGAGGTCATTTAAAGGTCCAATACCGAGCAAAACTGACTCTGAGGAGCTTTAAGTCATGTCAAAAACATACCTGGAGTTGTGTTTTGTTTCATTCACACTTTCGAGAACGGTAATCCTGGTTTATTAGTCTGTCTACATCTCCAAAGCTCAGAAGGCCCTGTTCCACCTTGTGATGTTATGAAGCAGTAGTTTTCAAGTTAACAACTACCTTTGACTTTTGTTCAGTACAGATTGCGAATTCCAGAGCTGAAATCTTCCAAACGTACAGTATGGGTGTAAAAACTCACTAAGCTTATCACATGACATCACAAAGTGGAACAGAGTGTTTTTGTTTGAGAGGAGAACTCAGCCTTAATATTCAGCTTGTGAGTTAATCATGTGTGACTGAAACAAAACACGACTCCATGTATGTTTTTTGATGAGGAAACAACATTATAACAGATAGATCGGGAAACAGTGAGATATGGGCCATTTAAGGAAGCTTGGCAGGTCACAGAGAGTTGAAAGAGAAACTGGTTTTTCTGTTGTTGTATTATTTATTCTTTCTTGTTTCACAAAGTGGTAAGTCATGTTCATTTGTTTTCATGTGAAAACATCCGACTTCACTGAGTCGTGACTTTCTCAAGGGAAAAATACAATCACTTTGTGTTTACTAACAAAGAAGTCAAAGCCACAGTGTATTTGAGATATTATTTATGTTTTATTTAACAGTCCGATCACAACAGCCAGATCTCTCACAATCACATAAACAAAACGGATTGGCCAAATACAGCGGTGAATGAACAACTCAATTTTGTTGCTTAAGTAAAAGTAAAAGTATAGCTGTTTAAAAATGTACTTTAAGAGTAAAAAGTAAAAGTATTTTGCAGAGATTTTTAGAACAATTAAAGGATGAAATGTAATGATTTTGAAAAAGACTGCAGCAGATTTTAAGTGATTCAATTGATTTCTTAATTTGTCGAGCTGCTTTTGTGTATTTGGTTTGCTAAAATTTGGGACGTTAACTCAAAAAATAAAATAAAGTCTCTGCCATTTCAGCAGGTCTCAATATATTTAAAAAAGTACTTTTTACTTTTCAGTCCAATCTATAGAGTAGAAGTAGAAGTAAAAAGTACAGATACCCAACATTTGTACTTAAGTATTGTACTTTTACTTTTGTACTTTGTAACCTTTCACCACTGGTAAAATGTTAAGAAATACTGCTTGTACTTCATTTAAATAAGATGCCGTCACTCCCCAAAAGTCAAAACCTATTCAGAGATCTACAATAAACTAGTTGTTAAGACTTGTCCAGATGTTTGTCCAGTGAATGAATAAAAAAAGTTACAGAAATATAACTACTTCTGTTTACTACAACTTACAAAATCCAACTTTGACATTTCTTTTGGTATTTTGACCATTATCCTGTTTTG